GCATATTAAATTATTTTATCGGATGGCAGCCTATAAAGCCAGTGAGAAAGAACTGCTGACTGACTGGAAACAGAACCTGTTGCAACATTTAGACAAGTTGAGGTATATTGTGAGTAGAGAAAGGATGCCAAAGTCCTAAAGTAGACTAGTCTGGAATTCAAGAAGATGGGTAGAGGATTTCAAGAAGAATGAGGATTTCAGTAAAATTTATTAATAAATTAGTCTTCAACTGTTTCTACTTCCCCTGACCTCCGAAGCAGTTCTTGATGAAATTTAATGACAGACTGATCGATTGTTGGTTGTATTCTTTGAAACATATGGGAGCAATAGTGCACTTGGCAATAATTTTAACACTCACCTAAACCAGGCAATGTTAAAAAAAGTATTGTTTAGCCGTGGCAAATCCAATTCACATTTCATCCATCACTTTAACAGGATGGTTAAAATTTTAAGAATGCTAGATGAAAAGGAGCAATTAAGCTAATTATTGGGGAATAGAATCAATTACCTTTAGCCAGGCAATCATTATGAGGCTGATTTACCTGGATGGTCTAGTCACACTCAAGTAAGCCTTAATTTAACACCAGTCACTGAGATGACATGATTTCTAATTATTCAAAATACAGCAGTATTGAAAACAGGCAACTCTGATGTAATGAAGTGTGAGCAGCCATCATTCATCCAAATGTGATTGATAGACATCTTTTCTACGCTTTACAAGATGAATGTCACAAAATTGTATTGTTCTGAATGCATATCCATAGTATAAACGTAGATCGTGGTACTGTGCTTTTGCTACTGGGGAGGCAGGGAGGATATCTTCTACATGTAAAATATGATTTTCAGCAGCCCAGGAGAAATTGTGCCAAACTGAATAAAAGGATTGAGAAATTATTTTTATTTCCACATCTGTTGAAGGAATCAAGCTATGTGTGAATAAGACTAGCTTAGAGAATGGGTAGAAAATGAAGAGAGAATTTAAAAATAAACACAGGAAGCATAATTGAGTAGAATAGGACTACTTTATTGTAGAACTAGAAAAATATTACAAATGAATAAGTTATTACTCATTATAAAAGTAGAATACATTTAAATGTAGTTATCCTCATTACTTTTAGATATATTGTACAAATGTATAAATGATATGGACATGACACAAATAAGTGCAATTCCTACCAGTACATCATGTTTCTCAGTAAAAATATTTAAACTAAAGCGACAGTTTTGTCCTCATACCAAAAACAACCAGCTCATGGTTTCTTGTTCATATTTTTAAAGTCAATAAAGTTAGCTGGTAGGGTTTTGAATGTCATGTCCATTGAATGATGTTCCACCATTTAAACATATGCTGGTCCCACGGAAAGGTTTCAGTTTCCCCTAATTGAGTGGCTGCACCTCAGAACTAGAGGAGGGTTACTAATTTTACAGCAATAGATTAACTAAAGAAGCCATATGCTCTATTAACTCTGACCAAACTAAATACTTCCATGTGAACCACAGCAATGTGCAACTGTGTGCCTTAGATCACACTCTTGTACAAGTAAAATGGCCTGATTCAGCATATAGGTGCAGTCCCCAGCATTTCATCTTGCCATGTTCAAATCGGGCAATCATCTATTATTTTTAGTCAACCTGTTCCTGTTTCTGCTCCTGCTGTAGGACAGTTAGTACTTAAGCTCAGTTTTTCTGGTCCAGAGTTAAGCACATAACCACTGCACCACAACAGCCCTTTATGCCAAACAAACATCTAAATCATTCAAAAACACTAGCCAATTTACCACTTTCATTACATGTAATTATTAAGTTGCTGCTGACCACATGTCATGTACGTCATCTACTTTGGGCAGAAACAGGTGTTCACTGAGTAGTTCACACCTCATTGAGTTGCAGTTCCCTTGGATACTTAATCACCTCTAAATAGTGTTGGGTTACTGCTTGCACTGCTCAGCACTGACAACAATAATAAACATGTTCAAAAAGTAAATAGCAGCTCATTAAGATCCAATTACTTGGTGTGCTTAATCCTCTCTAAATAGTATGGGTTACAGTTTCCAGACTGAATTGATACAGTCTTTGTTTAATAACATAATTTCTTTAGACTATCCAATGCATAGAAGGACAAAGAGCTTAAATGTCAATATATGGGACATAAAATTGTTAATTAATTTGGTATCTTCTTCTTGTTATCTTTTTATTTGCCTGCTTTTTTACATGAGGAACTGATGAATTTTGAGGCACCGCCAGCTGAACCAGTGTTGGATGAGGTAATATGAATCATAGAATCCCTACAGTGTGGAAGCAGACCATTCGGCCCATCAAGTCTACAGTGACCCTTTGAAGAGCATCCCACCCAGACCCAAACCTTAACCTATCCCTGTAACCCAGCATTTCCCATAGCTAATCCACCTAGCCTGTGTATCCTGGACACAATGGGCAATTTAGCATGGCCAACCCACCTTTCTTGCACATCTTTGGACTGTGCAAGAGCACCAGAGCATCCAGCGAAAACCGACACAGATATTTAGATGATGTTTAAAGTTTTGGCAAAGATCTGTAGCTCGGGTTGTGGGTGAGGTTGTTGACTTACTCGCTGAGCTGGCTTAATTTTGTACAGACGTTTCATCACCATGCTAGGTGACATCATCAGTGGAGCCTCCGATGAAGCGATGTTATTCTACTCCACTTGGAATTTATACTGTCCGGTCCGTTATGGTGAGTACTGTCATCTCTCATTTTGATCTATATGGGTTTGTATATGGGGTCCAATTCTATATGTTTGTTGGTTAAAGTATGGGTGGAGAACCATGCCTCTATGTTTGGCTTGGGCTACTATGGTTACTTTGTCCCAGTTAAACTGATGGTCTTCATTGTCTGAATGTACAGATATTAAGGAGGGTTCATCATGCCGTTTTTCTGCTAGCTGATGTTCGTGTATTCTGATGGCTAGTTTCCTTCCTGTCTATCCGATGTAATGTTTGTGGCAGTTGTTGCATGGTATTTTGTAAACCACGTTGGTTCTGCATGTTGTGGGGATGGGGTCTTTAAACCTTGTAAGTGTTTGTCGACAAACACACTGGCCACTGCCCTACATCAAGAACATATCGGAACTGACAACAAGACTCCTAAGACCACAAGAATCGTGGTGGCCCACAGGCCCACAGCCACTCCACAACAAACACTTACAAGGATTAAAGACCCCATTCCCACAAAATGCAGAACCAACATGGTTTACAAAATACCATGCAACGACTGCCACAAACATTACATTGGACAGACAGGAGGGAAACTAGCCATCAGAATACATGAACGTTAGCTAGCTGCAAAACAGCACAATGAATTCTCCTTATTATTGGTACACTCGGACAATGAAGGCCATCAGTCTAACTGGGACAAAGTAACCATAGTAGCTCAAGCCAAACATAGACACACACGGGAATTGCTAGCGGCATGGTTCTGCACCCATACTTCAAATCAACAAACGTACAGAATTGGACCCCATATATAAACCCATACAGATCAAAACCGGAAATGACACTTCTCACCATAATGGACCGGACAGTATAAATTCCAAGCGGAGTAGAATAACATCACTTCATCAGAGGCTCCACTGATGATGTCACCTAGCATGGCGACAAAGCGTCTGAACAAAATTAAGCCAGCTCAGCGAGCAAGTCAACAACCACATGGAGAATGTGCAAGCTCCATACAGACAGCTGCCTGTGAGTGAAATCAAATGCAGGTCCCTGGCACTGTGAGGCAGCAGTGCTAACCACTGAGCCGCCATGCCACCCAATTTCTAAAGTCAGAACCAAAAGAATTGAAAAATGTACCCACTCATGGATGTCATTGGGCTAACGGTCCAGAGGCCTAAGCTGTGCTCTGGAAATGGGTTCAAACCTCGCCACAGCAGCTGGTGGAATTTAAACTCAATCATCAAGTCTGGAATTGAAAATCTAGTCTCAGAAATAGTGACCATAAAACTATTCTCAATTGTAAGAAAAAGGGAAGGACATCCACCATCCTTACCAAGTCCAGCCGACCATATTCCAGAACCACAGCAGCATCGTATGTTTTAATTGCTCTCAAGGGTGATTGGGAACAAAAGTTGCTGCATTGGCAATGCCCATTTCTCATGAAAGAGTGAAAAAAAAGTCCCTACTCTTGATCAATAGTTTCCAACCAGTGCATTCCATGAGGGGGACTTTTAGCAGAGGATTAGATAGGGTGGACAGTGGGAGCCTTTTTCCTCGGATGGTGATGGCTAGCACGAGGGAACATAGCTTTAAATTGAGGGGTGATAGATATAGGACAGATGTCAGAGGTAGGTTCTTTACTCAGAGAGTAGTAAGGGCGTGGAATGCCCTGCCTGCAAAAGTAGTAGACTCGCCAACTTTAAGGGCATTTAAATGGTCATTGGATAAACATATGGATGATAATGGAATAGTGTAGGTTAGATGGGCTTCAGATTGGTTTCACAGGTCGGCGCAACATTGAGGGCCGAAGGGCCTGTACTGCGCTGTAATGTTCTATGTTCTATGTTCTAATACATATTGGAAATTTAGTCACATACACTGCACATGATTTTCACTATTCTTTTAAATGGTCAGCAAATCATGGCTAGCACTATTTCTGACAGGTGAGGTTCACAGCAGACCATCCAAGGCATAGAATCCCTGCAGTGTAGTAGCAGGCCATTCAGCCCAACAAGTTGAAACGATCCTCCGAAGGACTTTGCACTCAGGCCCATACCCCTACCCTATCCCTGTAATCCTGCATTTCCCATGACTAACCCACCTAGCCTGCACATCCCTGGACACGATGGGTGATTTAGCATAGCCAATCCACCTTACCTACACATCTTTGGACTGTGGGAGGAAACCGGAGCACCTGAAGAAAATCCAGGCAGACATGGGGAGAATGTGAAAACTTCACACAGACAGTCACCTTAGGGTGGAATCGAACATGGATCCCTGGCGCTAGGTTACAGCCACCATGCCATCCCCATATATTTCTATGTTTACTGATAGTTAATGGGCCAGACTTGCAACTTGTTGCTGTGTTGTAAGATTGTAACTACCAATTAGCTCCCTCAAAATAATCACCACAAAACTTTTATGTTCATTGAAGTATATCCAGGTGAAAAGCTGAAATTCTGCCCCAATGACTCCTTCCCAGTAATGAATTCCTTGCTGTCAGGTAGAGTCGTGGAAGGATACATCCTTTAACATTAAACAGTGTATAAATTGAAGAACAGCAACTCCTCTGTGGAGATAAAAGGGACAAGATACAAAACATTAATTCTATGCAAATACACTGTAAGACTCAAGCAGTTCAAATACAGGAGAAGTGTAACTTCTTTTTGCAAATTTGAAAACAACATTAAACATTGCTCTTGGTAAATATAAATACACACAAATGCATAGGAGAAATAATAATTTAAAACTCACCAGATTGTCTGGTGCTCCAAGATTGGTACTTTCCCCTTAGGATGATTTTGAAGATTGTTGTGTCTCTTCCATTTCCTCTGGAGCATAGCACCTCAAGAACGTTCTTTCAACCTTTGAACAATTTTTTCTCACAAGCCTTTTCAGGTCACTGATTCGTTTATGACAAGGTTGCGGTGTTGCCAACTTTTCATTGGATAATGGTACTGAAGTGACTGCTCCAAAGAAAGCATCTTGATGTTTGTAAACTATTGATGAGAATAATCTTGGTGAAACATGGCCATTGCTGTCTCCTGCTGAACTCCACTTTGCATAAATTAGCACCAGCTTATGATGTTACTTTATTTTGCATTCATTATGTAGTATATTAATGAAGTTATCAACTGGTTTCTGATTGGGATTACAAGTTACTTTTAGCAGTAAATTAGGCACAGATTTTCAAGAATGGGTTGCCTATAATCTTGGTAAGTAAAGGTGGCTATTATTACCGCAACAATAGCATATCTACTCTATGTGAGGTTCTTTCATAAGTAGTGTTGAGGTGATCTGATAAATATACACATAGTTCCATTTGTCTTCATGGATATAATTCTGACCCTACGTCAGGAAGTTTACACATTGTACATTGGTTCCTGCTCCATTTAAAATGTTTTTTGGTGCCTTGCTGCGACATGGTCCATAGCCTTGAGTCAATGTACAAATTAAACTCTGTTGGTGCCATTTATTATTAGAATGCTTCTATAAACTTTGAAGAAATTATTTTAAATTTGTCCTGAGGCTCTTAGCAACAGTGAATGTTAGGGAAGCATGGATGTCCCTCAGACCTATCATTACCAAGTCATAATGTGCCCCCTCAAATGGATGTAACCATATTGTGCACCAATCCTCAATTTAATCACAACTTCCAATGGATATAATAAGGGTTAGGAACAAGAGGTCACTCAGCAACAAACCAAATTCTGACCCTCTCCACACACAATACTTTACTTTTATGTTCTGAGCTATAGATTTTGTAGTTAACTTGAGAGATAGCTACGGGTTGACAATTAATTATCCAGCTAAGACTCACTCTGAAGATTTACAAATTAATACTGACACTTGGCAAAATACTGGCATGTTTGAAACTCTAAATCAGCAAGGAATTTATGCCTTCAAAAAGACTCTATGCCAAGGAGAGAAATGCAGCTGAATTATATCAGACATTGAATTTCTGAAGGAAAGGCCAGGAATGGGAATACCGGCTGCCCCATAGCCATTGACTAATAATAAGCTGGAGGCAGGATTTCCACCGCTCAGCAATAGCTCTACAGTTTTGGTTATCTGACTTAATGATGGGTCTTCTTGCATTGATGTCCAGGGAAGGTTCACTAGCCTGATTCCTGGGATGAGATGTTATTTATATGAGAAAAGGTTGAGCAAGTTGACCTATACTCTTTAGAATTTGGAAAACTGAGAAGTGATCTTAATGAAACATCAGATCCATAGGCATTTTGACAAGGTAGGTGGTGGGAGGATGTTTCCCATTGTACAGGAAACATGAAGAACTAAGGGAGCACAGTTTTAAATAAGGGGTCTCCTATATAAGACGAAAAGGGTAGTTACTGTTTGGAATTATCTTGCCACCGTAAGCTAGCGGCTGGGTCACTGAACACATTCAAGGCTGAGTTAGTGAGATTTTTGATTTATGAAGGAGGCAATGGTCATGTGTATGGCAACAAAATGCAGTTAAATAATCATAATCAGAACATCCATGATAGAGCAGACTCAAGGAGGCAATTGGCCTACTCCTGCTATGCATTCTCAGAGAGCTGCCAGCCAATGAGCAAAAGCCGTATCCAATCCTAGATCAGGATTTGGGTAACTATATGGGGACCTTGCTGGATACCAAGTTGGAAGGCCATTCAGAGAAGATAGGGGATTGAGAGGCAAAGGCTGGAGGAGATCCCCAAACGCCAGCAACCTGCCAGGCTGAGTAAGCGCACTGGTCTTTCCCACTGTTTATTCAATATCAGTGGCAGCAGAATAAGGCCGTTACATGAGCATTAATTATCCAATTAAGGGTCTCAATTGGCCCACTGCTGGGCAGGTTATACAATGTCACCCCCCTACTACCGGTCCAATTGTGGTGGGAACAGGAATGGGTAGGTGGATGGTGGGCAGGCCATGCATTGGATGAACCTTCGAACATGTTTGGGTGCGTGCATGTGGTGGGTGTGTGTGTGTCGTGTGTCTGTGTGTTTGAAAATGGGGGGTGGTGGTAAGGTAGTGGACGGGCGGGAGTTAAAATGCAGCTACGTACTGGGGCTTAGAAATAATTGGAGAAAGGTTCTCACCTTATATAATTCAATTCAATAGCACCATAAGTTGAAAGTCAAGCTCGTGGGAAGCTGAATAACTAGTATCAGTTCCATTTGTGGTTACCAAGAAAGTAAATCACAAATATAGATACCTTGAGTCATACCTAGTATACAGTGACCCTTGAAAATATTACATAGAAGACGAACAGGCAGTGCACCTTCACATTATGTAGCTTCACTTTTCATTTTTCTTTATATGTAATTAGAGGTGGACAATAAATGCTGATGCACAGATCCCATGAATAAAACAAAGTATTTAAATGTCATCTCTCCTCAGAAATTTTCTCACATTTTCATTCTCAAAAATTGAAGCCAAATACTGTGATAAGTAAATTTCTGGCTTACCAGCCGTCCGCTTTTTGGGGGATTTTGAAGTTCTGTTACGACCAGATGAAGACATTCCACTTTCACTCATGGAATCATGTGCAGATGATGCACTCCCTGTAGCTTCACTGTCACGTATCATACTTTCATAGCCACTGCTGCCACCACTATGATAAAAAAGAGCTGTTCTTCCCATGGCTGGAGGCAGCTCTCCACTAAGAACACTGCTGTTGTCACTACCATGCCCGCTGCTGTAGCGTTGAGGTCTCCTTGGTGCAGTTATTTTACTGTATGGAGAAGGCAAGACTGGTATCTGTGATATTTCATCACTCAGGTTGACCCCACTGTCATTCCCACTGTCAGAATCCGTGGATCCTCTCAAATGGCCCATTTTACTGGAGGAAGCCCCAGATGCTAGTTCAGAGACGCGGCTATTTGCTGCCCTGACGGCTTGCTTTGTTCCCATGATTGTTCCTTTACCAGGTTTGCAATTTGCCACCTGTGTTGAATGAGATATTGTTTTTCCATTTGATGGCACACTGGAACTTCGACCCATTGACTGGGTTAATGATTTAACCGATGTGCTTAACCCCTTCACACCACTTGTAGAGAGACTTCGGCATTTATTTCCTGATGCCACCATTTTATTAGTGGAAGTACTTTTGGTTTGATTGGATTTCCCTGTAACAGGAATGACAGGAATGGCTGGAGTGGACATTACTGGAGCTGATGGTGACACACCGAGCCTGGGTACTGATCGGCCTGTTCTATTGTTGTTGACAAGGTGACCACTTTCCTTAGATGCGCTATGTTTGGATCCGACTGATGTAAGACTATCACATCTCTCAAGTGATTGCAGACTCCCACAGCGATGCACAGACTCAGGTTTAGGCATTCGGGATTTTGAGCTTGAAATGCTTTTAACAAACATCTGTTCAGACTTTATGTTTGTTGATCTGCTATTGTTACCTTCAACAATACAAGAAGCAACATTTAGTCTCCCATCTATTTCATCCTCGAATTTTGATGGTGATACTTTAACTACCTCTGGGCTGGTACATTTTTGGGCATTAGTTTGTGGAGTAACTCTATTTTTTTGTTCTAGACTGGATTTACGGACGGGGGGTGCTGGAGGTGTCCCATTGAGCCTTGGTAGCAAGCTAGTTTTGGGCACTGATGTTTTCTTGCATGCAGTTGATTTTAAGCTGCTTGTCACTGAAGTAAAATCTGGTTGGTCTTTGGGTATAGCTCCAGTATTCACACTGGTGTGCATTATTGGCATTGTAGCAACCGTTGCATTTCCTTTTTTCACTTGTGATACCTTAGCTGGCACATCACTTTTCCTTGTGTTCGCACCAATGGCATTATTGATTCCATCGGATTTATTCGTCATTTCACATCCATAAACAACCCGCTGTGCACAGGAAACAGGTGTGTGAGACTTGTTAAGCCGAGGAATAGTTCCAGTATTATGGGATGTTTTCATCTGCTGTTTGATTTGACTGTGAGAAGCAGATTTGGGAGCCGACTTCACAGAAAGTGCTTGATCCTCAGCTTTTGGCTCTGATTGGCTATTTGTACGTTGTAACCAAGGATCCTCGGGCTCGATTTCTTGCTGTAGTGTGTCTCCACAATCTACTGTGCTACCGCTATGTTTCACAGATGAGGTAGATTTCACTTTCCTGGGAAGACTGGAGTAGCAAACAGGATCTTCTTCAGAAATTACTGGGACATGACAATGCACTGGGGTGCTGGTTTTAGTTGCTGATGAACTGTTACTGCCAGTCACAACTTTGCCAGATACCACTTTGGATAAACTTAAGGTGCTGGAACCTTTGTCGGTGTTGACGATAGGTTGGATTTCATTAGGTACTTCAGAGTAACAGAAGCTATCAGTCAAGGTGCTTTTTTGAGCCTGCATCAGTGGTGCACACATGTCTTGCAGCATGTCAGATGAGTCCAAATTAAAAGGCCCTAAAGTGTGCTCATCATAACTGTAACAAGACTGCACAATAAAAGTGTCAGAGGGTTGAGCTCCATCACTTTCTACAGCAGAGATGCTTAATTCACTGAGCCAGGAACTAATTGATGATCGTCTGCTACTGTTGCAAAAAGAATCATCTGCAAGTGGAACACCATTGTCCAGGTTTGCTCCAACAGTGGTTGCCGGTGAGGTATAAGCTTCAAAGTCATCATTTATGCTACTAATAATGCTGACAGGCCGTGAGCCTGAGGCCAAGGCCTGAAGTGAACAATCACTATTAAAGCTAATAATGCTAGCAGGTCGACCACTTTCCAAAATCCCTTCAAATGACAGTTCTTCTACAACAGTAAATACCAGTTCATCTTCACCGTTCAGTTCCACAGGCTGCTGCAAAGTCACAGTAGTAGTCAACATGTCTCGGTCAATACAATCACTCCGGAATGCAGACCTTATGCGATTTGCGTCTGATCCAGTGGATTGTTTATATTTGCTTTTGCAATGTGCAGCAGCATTTCCAGTTACATTGGAATCCGATTTATTTGTCACCTGATGGCTCATTCCTACTGGAGGAGTTCTAATCACTCTGCCACTACTGGATTCAGAACAATCAATTTTTCTATCTTTTGTTTGTGGCGGTGGTGGTGCAGGGCTTGGCAATGGCCTTCTATTGTAAAACAGCTTTTCCCTCACAACAGGTATAGGCGTGGCTTGGGCCTGCTTGTGTGCTTTTGGGCTGTTGGATTTGGGCACATTTGTGGAAGCTGTGATTGTCTCCTTCATTCCATCCATCCCAGTGTTTCCACTTAATTCCATTTTGCTTCCTTCAGCTTTGGTTTGCACTTTTGAATGTTCGATTGTTATTGTGTGACAGGGGCTCTTCACTGGCGATCCATTATGCTGCTGCACAGGTACTGGAGCATGCAGGCTCTGCCCCTTTTTAGGAGACACCATTTCTATTGAAGAATGTTTTCCATAGAGATGTGCAGAAGGTATTGGTACCTTTTCTGTCGCCGGGCCAGATTGTGCTGCTTCCTGTGACGTTAGACATTGCACATTCTCAGTCCTCATAGGGCCTGGACTATTACTACAAATGAAAAGTCCTTGCTCACAGGAAAACTGGATGGGTTCCTCACTTCCATCAATGCATTCTAACCTTTCCTGCAATTCAGCAAAAGTGTTACATTTGAAATAGTCCCTTTCAGTCCTCTTACCAACAATCACAGTTTCCTTGCCTTTCTTGGAGTCATGCTTCTTGTTAAGAGAAGGGATTATGGGGACAAATTCTGGCGGTCCCTCATTATCTGTTAGCTCTCGATCAGACAGTGCTGCACCATTAGGACCAACATAAATAACTGTATCGCATGATTGTTCACTGCTTGATGAATAATCTGGATCACTGGGTATTCCTAATACAGGAAGATTTGGATCAAGAGCTGTAGTTCTTGAGTGAAAGGGTCTTAAATTAGGTGGTCTCCGAATCCGACCTTCTTCACAAGAACTCTCTCCTCCTGAAGAACTTGAGGCATACTAGTTCAAATAGAAAAATGTTTATTTCACACGGAACATTGAACCACAAATTTTAAAACAAGGTAATTGAGACAAAAATGAACCTGACTCTTAAACTTGACAATACTAGATGGAAAGTTGTTTTTTCTCACACAGGGTTATCAATGCTTTTGAGATCTACATTTGAAATTAACATCTTTTGATTTGGAGCAGATACGGACCTTGGATTTTTTCTTTCTCATACGATGAATTCGTGCCGCAAGCTGAATGCTTGTAAGGGTTTCTGCATAGTTGGCTGGAGAGTCAGAAATATGGGTGATCATGGTTGTTCTGCAGTTTATATTCCCCAGCGATTCTCTCAACAGCATAGTAAGTTTGCTATCCCTATATTGTATAACAAAACAAACGCATTCAGGGGCAAAGAAACTGATAGATTAAGTACTTTAAGTTAATCATCTATTTGTATACATCCACTTAAACAGAATTTTCACACGTTTTTCTTTTTCCTAGTCAAAATTTCATCAGATTAAATGGAATTTATTATTATATTTTACTTCATGCACAGGACATGAGACCAGTAGCATTTCATTCTGTTCAACTTTACTGTAGCTACAATCTCATAATAAAATCACTTTAGGTATGAACATTAGCTTAGATTATTTGCTTGAAAATGTGGATAATATGGTCTTGTCTGAAGACTACTTCATGCCTAGTCCAACAAATATAAGCACAGTAACTTACTGTGGATAACTACAAAACTCATGTTTAGCATAGTTACAAGATGTTCCTTAAGAAGATAAACAGATTTTTTTTTATTAATGCCACAAACATAATTGAATTGTTCATTGTCTGGTCATGATTAGTGGCCTCTAGTGTTGAACTCAGAAGGATGAAGCAAAATTTCTATTGATTTGCATCAACGTATGAAAAGTTATCTTTCCTTCAGCAACTCTTCATTAAGGTTTACATTAAAATGATAGAGACACAGTAATACCATTTTGTTCGCATGCCATTTTTATTCATGGGCATGTTAGATTTCCAGTCTTAATTAATGGCAGAAAGAATTTAAACCATTAGATTCCTGCACTAATATCAAAGATCACTGTGCCAAATATTAGGCTAATTGTTATTGGACATAGGTCATTTGCAGCAACGGCACTTTTGTGCATTGTTTGGCTCAAAATCGTTTTGCACCCCAACTTGTCAGAGGGAGCTACTAATGGCACAGCGAGAGCAATAGGGCATCTGGGACCTCAGTGACTGGCAGGGCTAATAGTGCATCATCTTAGCCAGTGAGATTTAATGATTGAGAAAGGAACAAAGGAACAACAGAAATGGACAGTGAATTAAAGGCCACATTAAGAAACTGAAAAAAAGAGACAGAAACAAAAATAAGGGAAACATTTAGAAAGATAAAACGTGGCTTTTCTGGGCCAGAAAGTTTGATTAGCATTGCATTAACAATTATCATGTAGTTAGTTAGTATTGATCATAAGCTCTTAGCTTATGTCTAATAGTCAAATCCTTTGCAAAATCTTTCACATTTGTTAGAGTAATGTGAAGTTTAAGAAACTGTTTGTGTAAAACAAATAACTGAGTGACATAAATCAACCAGTATCTCACATTAAAACTCTTATTCTGAATTCTCTAATGGATTTACATGTTAATAATAATAGGTTATCATTAAAATACCATATTTTTCTAGCAAGATTCTGCTCAGTATGTCTTGTTTGTGTGATCTACTAAATGAGCCCAGTCCAAGGATCACCCTAGAATTTCTGTGTTCCATGCCAATTAAGAGTTGCACTAGACAGCTAATTGGTAAACATACAAATTCTCCTCATCTTACAGTTTGCTATTAATTATATAGATCTATTTCAAATGAATAATATTGAATTCTGCCTGGTTTTCAACCTTACAGTTAAACGCAAAAAGAAATAGTGCCTTGCCCTGTCTTCCACCCCTGGCTCTGTCAACACTTGGGAAGTCATTGAAAGATTGTACAATTTGAATGACAAAGTGGATGAGGTCCAATTTGGGACACCACTACTTGCAATGAAAATACCGAGAAATCTGCTATTAATATGTTGGGGAAAACTAACGAGCAGGAGTCATTTTTGCTGTTCCTTGATCCCCAAAACTCATTTTAAAAGGATATATTTTCAAAGTTGTGGCATCCTCACCAGCTGGTCAGCTGGCAGACTTACTGAGTCCTTTATCCCACCCTATATTCTCTGCAAAAGATGGGTAAAGATGCCCCCCAACCCCCCTCAAAAGGTCATCCAGGAAACGTAGCTGTGAGACTGGGATATGGCTTAACTGGTTCTGGCCTAGCTTGTGGCTATTTTGGCTGAAGTACGCCAAAGTTACTGCAGATTTTAAGCCTTGAAATTTTTTTTAAAAAAGACAAGAAAGGGGCTTTAGATACAAAAAATGCAAGAAGTTTCTGACTTTAGAAATCCGAATTATTTTTACATCATGGTCATCTCTTACATCTTCATTCCTGCATCAAAATACTTCATTCAAGAGTTCCCATGTAATTCATCATACACATTACTTACTTGTATGGCACGTGTTTAGCACCATTAACCAACGCCAAAATGACGTTGCCTAGTGCTGAAAGTGATAGGCAGAGGCCACCACCAGCATCCCGGCTCTTGCTTAAAACCTTCTCACAGCTCCCCAGATCAACCAAGTGTAAACGACTACGCCCTCCTGACACTGCAAAAGGACAGTAAGATATACAAAGCCACTCAGAGATTCTGAATTTATTCAACTCACAGACACAATGAACGCAACAAGCCAGTACCTGTATTAAATATTAATGGCAGGCAAATTGTGAAGTTTTCTGAGAAATCAGATAGTGACCACAATTACTCATTTTACATTTTTAAATCTGTGAAACATATGAGCAGAACAGATGCATTTTACAAATCAGAGTGAACATACTTCCCCCTTTGCCACTCTTCTCCATTCGATATTGGTAAATGTGAAGGGTAAAGAGCATATGGGAGTTTCTTCTCTCTTCCTCATCACAATCTGGCCTACTGGTCCTTCTGGAGGCTATTGCCACATCAAGGAAATAGGCGGCTTTTTCTGCCGTAGGGGCTCTCAGCTCACTTTGATTCTGAAGCTGCATATGAAGAGAAATATATTGCTAATTGGAAGAGGATTGCATTACTGTTCAACAGATTAACTCTCTAGGGCAATTAGTAACAAAATATGTGTACCAAGGGAGCAAAGATGAAAAAAAAAGTAACGCCAAAAAAGAGTGACAGTGACATTTTAAATGCGGCTGGAATGTTTCAAACAACCTTCAATGCACAACTGGAAAAGCAGTGAGTAGACAAACACGTATCAATTTACTTGAAAACAATACAACAACACATTATGATAAAAATACCTGAGTTCCACAGACTGGATCTTCCCTGAGATAGACACCAGGAGACTGGCCATCTTGAAGGCTGCCAGTGGCCACTTCAGATAACAAGTCCCGAAGGTTTTCATCCTTGCCCCAGATCTCCACAGCGGATACCCTGACTGAGAATCGAGTGCCGGTTTTCTCTTTGCGTTCATTTATTAGTTTAAAAAGCCAGGATATTGCACAGGGAATAACACCAAGATTTTGCGTTGAATTGTCTTTTCCAATCATAGTATATGTTTTCCCTGGAATTAAGATTTAAGTTTGAATGTTAGGCTGTTTCAGTTTCTTTAGTGGTTTGCATAAATATGGATGGCAAATGCAATATTTTGCAGTCTGGATCTGCAATGCTGGTGCAGGACTGTAGGCACTAAAGATACACCAGCAGCATCCACCTTTTAAACAGCACAACATCAGACATCCTAGAATCCAAACCAGCTGACCAGCAGCATGGTAGATACAGGGAATCCTGTGGTTTGATGGTAAAGGGCCCCAGAGTAGCAGTTGCTAACATATGCCATGTGCACTCCAAAGAAGCATTTCAGTTCCTCTTGATCCCACAGTGAGACTTTTAAAGCGATAACGTATCATCTTCATTGATTATATCGCAAGTTAAACCCACGTCTGCACAATACACTCTCCTTCCTGCAATCTCCCAAAAATATCTGTACGTCAAGAGGATCCCAATATGCATCTTAAAAGGATTTACGTAAACAGTGGCAGCCAAATTGAGATCAGAAATGAGTTGGTTCACTATGTTCCATGATTTCCAGAGAGCTACCATTAGATTTCTAAGCGGCATACATATTTAGTGAGAACCCTCCTCAGTGTCTTAGCAGTTGGTGTCACTCTACTTTAGACATACATGGACAAGTACAGTATCTCACTGTTTGCCCACTCATTTATCTATGGTAGTATTGTGTGTCTGAATATTTTGCTATTTAACAAGTGTCGTAAAGGTCAAACAGATCATTCTTAATTCTTGCATGTTTATGTGCAACTGTAATTGTTCACAAAATTATATATCCCATGCTCTGATGTTTTCTCAAATGTGATCTCCAGCTACATAAGTAAGTTGCTTATTAGTGCAGGCCAATGTGATCCCCATCAAAATACTGACTGAGCTACTTTGAAGTGAGGTATCAGCAAAAGAAGCTCAACTAATACTATAAAAGGCAACATCACTGGTCAAGTGATACTTAAATTAAAATTTGATACATGTAATCCTATCAATTAGAATGGTAAAAATAATTTTTCTTTTTAATGAGCCAGCATAAAAGATACCGAGCGAAATTTAAAACCGTACCTACAACCTCCCCTCCCCTCAATGTGGGCAAGTTCAGAGAGGTTCAGAGGTAGGAGGGGCAGGGGAAGGCATGTGGTTACAGGGTAAAGATCTTGTGCATTCTCACCTCAAGCCCAGGGCAGGAAAACTTGTCAGCAACCTACCTGCTGGAGGCCAATTAATGCCCTGAAATGGTAGCCAACAGCAATGACTAGAGGACTCACCATCCATGAAAAGCACACAGTAAACCTGGTCTGGTTAGGTTTAGTGAGTGACCGGTGAAGGGGGTCCCTCATTCACAGACAAACTGAGTCAGATTGAAGGACTCAGCATCAGGAAGAGGGAGTCCCGACTGGACGACAGACCTCTGGCCTTTGTCTGAACATCCCACCCTCACCCATCAACCACTGCCACATCCCACCCTATGATCCCATCCCACTCACACTCATCTGTATTTAGGGATCCAGGAGCAATCCCTCCTCTAGGCCCCTCTGGTTGGGCAGCAGTTCTAGGATTTCCATCCTCCTAAGGTTTTAATCTGACAGGAGGCTCATTCTCACCAGGTCAGTACCGGATTTAAATTAAATCATTACAAGTTTCCTGGAGAAAAGTGATGCAGAACTTGTACCAGTGGACAAGGCCTTTATCACCCACATTAACTCCTGGTTACCAGTTGTTTTTGACTGCTTTGTAAACATGGCAAAGACCTAGTGCTATAAGCTGAACTCTCCCAGACTGATGTTTGGGTGTGCTCCAACTGGTTTCGCTGCAGATTTGTTAAATCGATCTTTTTGCAGAATAATCTCTCAACTCTTCTCAGAATGTGCTCTCAATATTAATATGGCATTTTTGCATACATCTTTTCAGTTTTCACTGTCAGACATTGGTAAATGTTCAGAAGTATGAGGCTGAAACAAACACAGGACCACAGAAAGAACCTGAGGAATTCATATGACATTTCAATTTATCTTCAAAAATTAGGCATAACTTGAATTTACACAGCACCTGTACCAGATGAAAATATCCAAAGGAATTTCACAAAATTGGCATCAAGCCAAAGCAGACATGAGGAAACATGAGTAAAATCAAAGAAGTAGGATATAAAGAGAGTCTTAGAAGAAAAAAAGTGAAATGGAGCATCAAAGAAATTGAGGGAATTAATTGTAGGCTTTAGGACATCAAAGACTAAGGCTTAGATGAGACATTGACTCTTTCCAAAATGCGGCATTAGGAATTTCAGCCACTATTCCATAGATTAGAATGATCCCTCATTGTAGTCCTTGAAGGCTACAGAAAGAGCAGCAAAAGGCAGAAAACTAAACTAGTTTGTCATGCCAAACTTCCCTGCCATAACTTGTGGGCAACAAGTGCATTACAGCAATTATTGGCTGTGCCTAGGGGGCAGTGGCAAGATAATCCAAGTTCAATAAAAGAAAGGTCACAGTTTCCATAAACAATGAAATTCTTTTGAAATGTGGCTAGTGCTATTGTGCCGCTTGACAATAAAGGTCCTATACAGCAATAATAAGAGTAGAAATTGCTGAAGAAATCTAGCAGGTCTGGCAGCATCTGTGGAGATAGGAAACAAAGTCAGCATCTCATGGTGGCTCAGTGGTTAGCACTGCTGCCTCACAGCGCCATGGACCCAGGTTCAATTCCAGCCTCAGGCGACTGTCTGTATGGAGGTTACACACTTTCTGCATGGATTTCCTTCGGGTGCTCCGGTTTCCTCCCACAGTCCAAAGGTATGCAGGGTAGGTGGATTGGCCATGCTAAATTGCCCATAGTGCCCAGGGATGTTTGGGTTAGACAGGGGAATGGGAATGGGTGTGGGTGGGGGGCGGTGTGGACTTGTTGGGCCGAATGGCCTGTTTCCATACTGTAGGGATTCTATGATTTTGGGTCCAAAATGACTTTTCTTTGGAACCCAGAACAGCAATGTAGCAATGTCCAAATAATCTGGTTTGGCAATGTTTGTTAAGGAATAAATATTGGTCAGGATAATCCCTTTCCTTCTTCACAGTAGTGCCATGGGGTCTTTTACATCTATCCAAGCAATCAACCGGGGCTTCAGTTTAACATCACATTGAAAGAGGCAGTGATAATTCAATTTCCTATTGTTACCATCAATATTCAGTGCAATTTGGAGCCAGACAGTGATGGAAAATCAATGCAAAGAAAAATTATATGTTTGCACTTATAACATGGTCACAATTCATTTTACAAAGGTTCAGTATGTTTGAATGTTCTCTTTCTTAATTGGAATCAAAATTGTGATGACTTTAATTTGTTGAGAACTACATCTAAAAGTTTAATGCCCAACGGCAACTGGGCATCCAGTTGAATTCCAAGAACCTCTCTAAGAACACTCACAAACAGCATCACTCATCTGTCTCAGGGAGCAGAAGATTCTTCATTGCCTTTAACTTCAGTCTGGCTTATAGAATATTTTTCCCAATGGACAGCCTAGTTGCATTTTTAACTCTGAATTTTTGTACGGACTTACAGGGTCTCTGGCTTAGGCAAAACCACGATTAATTCTCGAGGTGTCACTCCCAAAGCTGGCAAACATCATTTTCAGCAGGAAGCGGGTGGATAACAGGGGACAGATTGTCAATGGCAAAGTGTATGGCAGCAACTGCACATGTTAAGATGCAGCAGCTTTCAGTCAGATCCAATTTTCGCTAATGGGATGTCCAAAAGACGACTTTCAGGAGAAGGTATAAAACTACCAGAGTACTTTTCAACAGTAGGATACCCTTTTGGAGCAGTCCAGGGACTGTACTGAGAGATGGAAGATGCCCTTTGGGAGAGCAATGGTGCCCCTTCGATTTGTTAAAAGAAGTTACAAGTGTGGGTGAAAAATGGAAAAGCTCGTTGGAAATGTCAAACCCATTGGCCAACTGTGAAGCTGTCAACTCACTTATATTCTTGACCTGCACTTTTGAGGGAACTGTCAGCATATTGAAAAATGAAATTATTTACTATTTTACTGTCTCTGTGGACATAAACGCAAGGATTATCATTAAAGATTTTGTGCTGCGAATGATTTTACAATATGTTGTTACCACAGTAGACTACGTGTCAGTTGACAGGTAGATGGACAGCTCCAAATGTTTCTGACATTTTTCAACTGGGCCTGTTGGTACAAATGTTTGTTTTTATAATGGGTTATATAGGTAAAAGAGATTAAATATAGTGTTTAGGGGAGAAGGAAAGTTGACGTTTCGGGTCGGGACCCAAAACGTCAACTTTCCTGCTGTTCTGATGCTGCCTGGCCTTCTGTGTTCCTCCAGCTCCACGCTGTGTTATGTCTGACTCCAGCATCTGCAGTTGTTACTATCTCTAAACATAGTGTCTAGGTTTTTAATCAATTGGAGAGGTTTATGTTATTCATTGATAGCGATTGAGGACTTTGTCTTACTTAATTTAGAAGTTGAGGGGTTGAGGGCTGATTTTCATTTTAATGTTTTTATAATAGCTGCAGCAAAGTCCCACAGCACTGAGGTGGGTCTTTTTAAAAGCCCACTGCCACATACAGTTACCCTTGTACAACTTCAGCAAGCTTGTTTGGCTGTGATCTCTATAGTCAGTTCATCATGGAATATTTCACTAAGAGGAATTTGGATCATCAGTTTGCCACTGACGAAGAAGTTTCTTTAAACAGGAAGCAACCAATATGGTGATCCGCAATGAAGTTGGGAATTTTGGAGAATATGTGGAACTCTGGCACCAATAACTGGGTTCATAAAATGACCATAGGAACTGGTCCTAAAACTGCTTCATGTTCACTGCACCAGTGGTTGTCAAATTTCATGCTACTTCAGGGAATTTAAGTACATTACAACAACTCTCATTCAACGTAACAAAACATCCCAAGGCAATCATAAGAGACTTATCAGTCAAAATAAGACATAAGGGAGAAATAGAGAGATTCAAAGAGGGATTTTCAGAACTAAGGGCCTAGATAACTGATGGTTCAATGTTTCAGTTGAAATTATCGAGCTTGGCAATTTTTTAAGACATACCCATTATAAAGTTAAAAAAAAGACATGCAACTAGTACATGGAACTCTATGCAATTCCGCATTGATTTTCTGAGCAAAATATGAACTCTCTTTTCCTGGTTTTTATGTTTTGTCCACTGTCAGGTGGGAGGTGGGTGGGAGACTCCTGCAGAATTCTCCTCCCCCAGATCCCTATAAAGGGAATTATACCTACCTACCTACCCAGGGTTATAGAGTCATACAGCATGAAAATAGATCCTTCGGTCCGACGCATCTGCGCCGACCAGATATCCCAATCTGACCTAGTTCCATTTGCCTGCATTTGGCCCATATCCCTCTAAATCCTTCCTATTCATAAACCCAACCAGATGCCTCTTAAAATGTTGTAATTGTACCCACCTCTACCACTTCCTCTTGCTGCTAATTCCACTATCCTCTATGAATAATTACCCCTCAGGTCCTTTTCAAATCTTTACCCCCTCACCTTCTACCTATGCCCTTAATTTTGGTCTCCCCTACCCTTGGAAAATACCTTGGCTATTCACCCTATCCATGCCCCTCATGATTTTATAAACCTCTATAAAGTTTACCCTTCAGCCTCTGATGCTCCAGAGAAGAAAGCCCCAGCCTTTTCAGCCTCTCCTTATAACTCAAACTCAATCCCAGCAACATCCTTGTAAATCTTTTCTGCACCCTTATAATGTACGCAGTGTTCTAGAAGTGGTCTCAATATGTCCTGTACAGTCACAACATGACAACCCAATTCCTATTCTCAATTATCTGACCAATAAAGGCAAGCATGCCAAACGCCTTCTTCACCAACCTGTCTGCCTGCGACTCTACTTTCAAGGAATTATGTACCTGAACCCCAAGGTCTCTTTGTTCAGCAATGCTCCCAGGGCCCTGTCATTAACTGTATAAGTCCTGCCCTGGTTTGCCTTACCAAATGCAACACTTCACATTTATCTAAATTAAACTCCATCTGTCACTCATTGGCTCATCGGCCCATCTGATCAAGGTCCCATTGTAACTCTTCTTTACGATCCATTATACCGCCTATTTTGGCGTCATCTGCAAACTTACTAACCATGCCTCCTATATTCACATTCAAATCATTTATATAAATGACAAAAAGCAGTGGACCCAGCACTGATCCTTGTGGCACCCTGCTAGTCACAGGCCTCCAGTCTGAAAAGCAACCCTCTACCACCACCCTCTGTCTCCTATCTTCAAGCCAATTTTGTATCCAAATGGCTAGCTCCCCCTGGATGCCATATGACCTAACCTTACTAACCAATCTACCATGCGGAACCTTGTCAAACACTTTGCTGAAGTCCATATAGACAACATCTACCGCTCTGCCTTCAACCTTCTTTGTCAGCTCTTCAAAAAGCTTAATCAAGTTAGTGAGACACAATCTCCCATGCACAAAGCCACATTGACTCTCCCTAATCAGTCCTTGCCTTTGCAAATACATGTAAATCCTATCCCTCCGAATCCCCTCCAACATGTTACCCACCCTGATGTATCCTTTGGTAAGCAGAAAAAATGTACAAAAACAACCATCGTTGACAGTTAAAACATATTGATGAACATTTTTCAATGCTCTCTTAATTATAGATTTCCACACATCAAAAACGTGCAGAGTAGGGCTCACTTTGCTGAACAGCCTGCATGTATCTGTGTGAATGGATTAAACCTTATGCATCCATCACACACAGCCTTTGGTCATACCACTTGTAACTCCAGGAAATTACGGATTTAGTTCAGGTTTTAACAGTCCAATAATGTAATCTTGGCCCCAATCTAAATTTAATGAAGAATCTCATGAACCAACTATTATAAGGACCAGTCAGTCCAGAGCAGGCACACTCAATACTCCTAAAAAAAATGACAATGACAGTCAGTGCAAATCCATTGGGAATACATCAATTAGAATCCCACCATCCTTTAATCCTCTTGCCTACACATACGAACATATGAATTAGCAGCAGAAATGGGCAATTCAGCCCCTCAGGCCTGCTCCAACATTCATCAAGATCATGTTTGCATTTTGAATTCCACATTCCCATCTATCCATGACAACTGTTGATTCCCCCAACTAACAAGCATCTATTTTTGCCTTAAAAATATTTACTAACCCCACCTCACCACCTTCTGAAGTTCAGAATTCCAAAGTCCCAACACTCAAAAAAGCTTTCACCTCATCTCTGTCCAAAAAGAGCATCATCTAATTTGTAAACAGTGCCCTCTGGCTCAGGACTCACCTACAAGTGGAAACATCCTTTCCATATCCACCTTACCAAGGTTGTTGAGGATCTTACTGACTTCAGTAAAGTTAACCCTCGCAAGCCCAGTCTGTCCAACCTTCCTCATGAGACAACCTTCTCATTTCAGGTATCAATCTAATAAACCTAGAACACAGATCCCATTGATGGTCAGGGGGATTTTGGTATAATTAAAATGATTTTTATGTTTAAAATTTTGAAGTTGAAATCTCAAATTTAATCATTTATCCATCTTGAATTATTTATTTCTATGTAATTTGCAATTCTAGGAAGTAAAATCATTGAATTTATATTGTATTTTTAACATAGTCAAAAGAGATGTGTGAAGGGTGCTGAGGGGTAGCACATGAATGAAGCAGAGGAGGAAGCTAATGGAGGGGACAGAGGTAATGGTGCATGAGAGAAAAAAAGAGAAACTATTTCTCTATCTACAAATAAAAAGTGGAATCACTTAGACAAATAAGTACCGGCAATATTAGAGAGGCATGTGGTCAATTCACTCCAAGTCTGTGGGGACATCAAGGAGCAGTGAAAGAGTCAATCTATTATATTCATAGTCATAGAGAATGCCACATGTGACCTAATTAGGCCAGTTCAATGCTGTGGCAAAAATAAGACCCTAATTGGAGAAGTTCCAGCATAGGGTGAGAGAAAGTTGACCACCTATTTGGAAGGACACAAGTTCCGAAATGAGGAAAGGGTAATTGCTAGTAGGCTGTATAGAGGGTGACATTTTTGACAAGAGGTAATGATGGCTCCTATTTCTAATGTCAGCATGCAAGAAGGAAGGCTGAGTGGTCAAGAGTTTAGTGGAAAACAGATTGAAGGTACAAGGTGCTGGCATCCATGGATTTGTGGTTCGAAGGAAATATATGACGAGAGGCAAGAGAGACATTGGAGAAAGGTGAGAGTTTAATTCCATGACATGGGCTGCCTAGGGGACGTCTGTCATAGTAGTCAAGGAAAGGCAAGGAAACCCGGTGAACAAAGGTTTCAATCTTGGTGACAAAGACATCATCGAACTCTTTGGGCTAATTGGAAGATGGAAGTGATGGGATGAAGTGTGTACGGTGCAGTTCATTGTGGAGTGAGAATTCTGGGAGTTACTTCGCTTCCTAGGTTGAGCTTGAAGTAGTGAGTCATTTTAGCAAGGGATTTTGAGAACCGGAAACATTTCACATGTCTTGTGGAGATATGGCGATGGATGGTTAAATCTGTGCTCAGATCGGTGTCTTTTGGAGTTCAGGGAGTATTTAGGTCCATACCAGGATTAACAAACAGGGTGATAATGATAATAAAGATTTCCCTAAGGAAGAAGATATCAAGTGTGGAGACAGAAGAGTAGCTGAATGAACTGATTGCTGCAGAATGTTGTGAAGAAAGGACACCACAGACTAAGTTTGACAGTGTTGCTGTAAGTGACTAGGGACAAGAGTGTTTCTTTTCCTCCAGGTCTGAATGTGAAAGAAGTGAGATTGGAAGGGAAATATCTCTGTGTTTGGTAAACATTACAAGGAAGCAATCTGCTCCGAAGAAGGGTCACTGGAACCAAATTGTTAACTCTGCTTTCTCTCCACAGATGCTACCAGACCTACTAAGCTTCTCCAGCTATTTGTTTTATTTCAGATTTCTGGCATCCGCAGTTCTTTGTTTTATTGTATGGAAGTAATCATAGAATCCTTACAGTGAGGAAAGAGGCCATTCAGCAAATGAATCTGCACCAACCCTCCAGACAGCATCGCAGCCAGACCCAGACTCTACTTTATCCCTGTAACCTGTATTTCCCAGGGCTAATCCCTCGAGCCTACACATCCCTGGATACCAATGGGCAATTTACCATGATCAATCCACCTAACCGTCACATCTTTCGACTGCGGGAGGAAACTGGAGCACCTGGAGGAAACACATACACACACAGGGAGAATGTACAAACTCCACACAGACAGTCAAAGGCTCGAATCAATCCTGGGGCCCTGACACAGTGCTAACCACTGAGCCACCGTGCTGCCCATAATCTGAGTAACTGAAAAGAAAACTTTTATCGATTTTTTATTTAAATGCAAATCTGTGGAAAAATGGAAAATCTATTTTGACTGTTGAATTTTAAATCCTCACACTCTGTCTTATGAACATGTCAAAAATTGAGTTAAAAGCAGAACGTTGAAGTCTACAAAGTATTTGAAAAGGAAATTCTAACCTAGTCACATGCTTTCAGGTTTATTGTTGCAAAAGCTGACAGCATGTAATTACCGGTCTGACATTGTAATTAACAGTAACAAATTTAGGAGCTTACCAAGCTTGACGTGACCAAAGCAAAATATGCAGCCATCGGCACCATTCACAACGGACTGAATTACTTCTGCCACTGTTCCTGAGCAGACCTCAGCCTAGGAATATTAAGACAAATGAAGAAAGCACATTAACTAATTTCTGTGGGTGTATAAACGAAAGCAGAAATAAATACGATACTAATACAAGCGAATAAATAGTAATTAATTTAATCGCTGTCTTTTGTCGTCCCACTCACTTGTGAGGCATCTTGGGTAAAAACCGCATCAAATGCAAACATTTTTGGAGCAGCAACAGCTGGGGATCGTCTGTGGGCAGAACCAAAATGACCACTCACTGAGGGGTCATAAAGAGTTATTTGTTTTTTGCGGGAGTCTACTTTCAGGAAAGACATCGACTCTGATGTATCATTTGCTCCTTGGGAAGGACAAATCCGTACCATTACCTTCACCTGAAAGGAAATCAAAACAATCACTTTAGTTCACAAAAATCAGCATTGAACAATACATTTTTTCACTGTTCTCTTTACAGGCCAATCAACGATTACAAATATTCTAACATTTTAATGTCATTCCCCTACCAGCGCAAAGTTATAAAGCATGAAGTCCAGATAAAGGACTAATTTGCCACACATCACTGGGGTATCAACTCCCAAAAACATGGACAGGCAGTTTCAAATACTTCACACATAACAAATACTTTATACTTCATGTAATGTAAATATGATACACGAAGGGTAAGTGTGTTTAGTTTCTAAAGTACTATTTGTTTTCTTTGCAGAATGTGAAGAAGAAAAGCAGTGAGTCTCTAGCATAGCATTCATTACAGCACCTAACATTGTAAGTAGTGCATGAATCATTGAGCAAACCAGACACACTCACATCACAGCCATAATGTAGGGACATAGTTCAAACATCATGAGGCCGATGAAGGGGAGCCAGTCACAGTGATTGCTAAGGGACAACATATGAAGAGTGAAATACCATATGCTAAATGCCCCATTTGAGTTTCCCCAAAATAAATATCTCCAAAGTGTCTGCTTTTCAAAAGTGTCTGTTAGAACTTCTGTGCATTGTTGTGGAGATATTTGTGTCTGTAGTCTGCCACTAAAAGAAGCAATATTTGTAACAATGGCAATTGTGACCACTTACACAGATCATACACACTTATCAATGGTATCACTGCTGCTGTCAAGTCCAACGTCCGAAAAGTGATCAAGGCTGATTTTCACTTTGTCAAACGGTGCATACAATTAACAGGGTGGGACTGAAAAGCCTCATCCACACGTATAATGCAGTAGTCAGACTGATCATTGTACAAAGCACAGAAACTGTTAAGCGACAATAACGAAGACAGTGGTAATAATGACCAGTTAATTAATAATATAGCATGCCTCTAAGGTCCCTCACATCACAGATTCCAGACTTCAATGAATTTGATTCACTCAACAGGATGTCAATAAATGGTTGGAAGCACGGAAAAGGCTACGGGCCCAGCCACAGTACTGAAGACTTGTGCTCTGAAATAAGCTGTATCCCTGGCTAAGCTGTTCCAGTATAGCTACAACACTGGCATCTAAAGTAGCAAAGTGGAAAATTGCTCAAATGTGTCTCAATAGCAAAAAGCAGGACAAATCCAACCCAGCTGATTACAACCCTTTCAGTTAGTCTTGATCATTGGCCAAAATCTCTGTCTCGAGGATACTTACTTACATACAGTACTCCAGCAAAGCTCAATGCAGCTGGAAGAACAATATCTCATTTACAGCTTGGAAACCCTGTAACCTTCAGGTCTGAAGATTGAGGTCTATAATTTTAGGGCCTGAGCACCTTTTATGTCCTTACCCCAAGCCCCCATAAACCAGGCCCTGGCATCATGTGGGTTGCAACCTCAAACAACCCATCGTCAGCTACTAACAATCCCCATTAGTAGCTATTCATTCTCCTAGGCTGACCTTTATCCACTCCTTATTCTGTCCAACTGTTTTCTCTCTCTCGTCTCCATTTCCATTGAGTCTTTACTCTTTCTGCCTCTCCCCAACCCTTCTCTAGCATATATAGTAACCAAGCTACAATCAGTGCTGAAGAAGGGTCACCTGACCCAAATGTTAACTCTGCTTTCTCTCCACAAATGCTGCCTAATCTCCTGAATTTTACCAGCAATTTTTGATTTTGTTATTGAGTAGTCACTTGATGAATTAAACTCTACCAATTGTAATGCATCATGCAGTTTCATCATGAGGGAATAGAAGAGCACAGACCATTTTCCAAATACTGCACAACACAATGATCTAACTGCCATTGTCTGAATCTACTTTTAATATTACAAAGTTAAATCAGATGAAAGCAGAACATATTGGAAACTCCTACTAGTAAGTGTATCATACCGGACCCAAACTGCAGTAATTCATCCCAATCTTGCACGACTTGATAATTTTTTTCAAAAATTTTACCTACTTTTCTAATCAACCTGTTCAGAAAAGTTATTATACATCTCTGGAGCAGGTGTGAAATAACTCAACAGTGGCCAGTATCCTGTTACCAAGTCACCATTTAATTACATATGGAGAGTCCTTGACACTGATCCAGCTTCCTCAGAGCCAGCTTTCAGAGGGAACAGAATGTCTGACACTCCTGTTCTCATCTGTCAGCCAGGGTTCTCTGAGTGACGCTGGACCAGATTGGGACCAGCCTCAGTCAGGGAACTCATATTCTATATGTCCACTTAGCTGACTTCATTACAATCACTGCAGGTGGGACTTGAAACCACACCTCCCAGTTCAGGGGTAGAGACTCTAACTCTGCACCACAAGAGCCAATTTTTTTTATTTAAGCTATTTTTCTGAACAGCCTGTTCAGAGATGTTATTACATACCTCTGGATCAGGTAGGACTTGAACCTGAGCCTTCCTGGCTTAGAGGTAGGGACACTACCACAACAGCCCCTAGCTTGAAGAAGCGAGGGTATGCCCCTGGAAGAGTGCATTTCCAGTATCTGCAATTCTTTGGGTCTTTTTTTGAAAAGCTTTATTGTCAGGCAGGGTTCAGATGTCATTTAGATACAGAAAGGACAGCAAGGGTTTTTCTTTAAGTCACCTACAGAGGTGTTGGTAGGCTTATAATGGCATTACTGCTGTACCACCACGGGAGGTGGTGGCCTAGCGGCAATGTCACTGGCCTAATAATCCAGAGGCCCAGGCTAATTATCTGGTACATATGTTTGAATTGCACCATGGCACATAGTGAAGTTTGAAACCAATAACATCCCGAATTAAAAGCTAGTTGACTGGAAATCATGTAATTTTACAACATTTAGAGGTGGGCAACAAACGCCAGCCTTGCCATTGGTGCCATATCCCATAAAAAAAACCAACAGCAGTTTTGGTCCCTATATCTAAGGAATGGTGTGTTGAGGTGAGAGAGTGTCCAGAGAAGGTTTGCAAGAATGATCCTGGGGACGAAGGGCATGTCATATGCACAGCCGTTAAAGACTCTGTCTCTGTATTCAATGGAGTTTAGAAGGATGAGAGGGGATGTCACAGAAACTTGCAGAATACTGAGAAGTCTCAATCGAGTGCTTGTGGAGAAAATGGTTCCATTAGTAGGTGAGACTAGGACCCAAGGGCACAGTCTCAGAGTGAGGTGGCCACCTTCTAGAACTTTCAGCAGCCAGAGGGTGGCTTATTTGTGAAACTCATTGCCACAGAGGGCTCTGCAGGCCAAGTCATTGAGTGTATTTAACACAGAGATAGATTGATCCTTGATTGGTAAGAGGATCAAGGGTTACAGGGAGAAGGCAGGAGAATGGGGTTGAGAAACACATCAGCCATGATGGCAGAGCAGACTCAAGGGGCCAAATAGCCTAATTGTGCTCCTATATCTTATGGTCTTTCCATGTAGTATACTCAATGTAAGAACAAGTAAAACTAATAGTTCAAAAACAACAGAAAAAACGATATAGTATATTTGCAGCCCAAAAATCATGATTTTACATTTATTCAACGTATAAAAGTTTGCAACCTTTCTTTCAACGATGACATGTTAAGCTTTAATTAGTAATCAGCCTCAGTTTTTCACCCAAAAAATGTATGTTATACTTAACTAGTGCCTTATAACTGGGTGTAAGGAATCAAGCAGGCAACAGAGGCTGTGTTGGGAAGATGTGCAGGAAATTAAAACATATCCACATTGTCCAGACCCAATGTGTCAGACAGTAAAAACCCACATCTTTTGTACTCAGAATGTAAGTCAACTGCAAGCTTTGAGGGAGTTTTAAAGGCATCAAAAGGTGCATTTATATATCAACATCTATGATACTTAATAAAGATGCAAACAATCATCTTCTTCTATCAATGCTTCCCACAGAGAAGACAGGCATGGAATACATTCTTAAGACACTACAATTCATACATAATCAAAGATCAGATAAGAACATCAATATCACACAAGTATCTCATGCTTTCATGACTACCTGAACTCAGCATCTGTTCTCATCCAGGAAAGCTTTCTACTGTTAGTATTGACACCAATGTGAAAAGACAGAATGAGAAACCAAACAATCTTAAAATAAATGAAATAGCTACTTTAAATAAGGAAAGCTCTCAGAAGTGGCAGATTCAAAGTTTTCACAACTTATATAAACTGAATGGGCCAAACTTATAATTTAACTATTTTGTGCAAGCCTTCAGTTATTTCCAATGAAGCTATTAGTCTATAAACAGAATTGCAATGTTCCCATACAATTTCAGTTTATCCAATTAACTCCATTTTAATTATAATTTTCAATTTATTTTGCTCATGTATTATAGTACAGTCTTAGTTGAATGAGCAAACCAGTGATTCCCTACACTAATCATTTTTTTTCATCCAGTTTCTGGTACATTTCTAACGAAGCCACTACAAACAACTACACATTGACTGTTAGAGAGTGATAAGGAATTCAATCTTGCACAATAAAGATCAACATATTGAAACTATAATTATTATGCCTCCCACTTGTACCTTGATAACAACCACTGACCACTCTGTTAATAGGTTCATTTTGCCTGGTATCCAGAAGGATTAAGTACATGCCTATTCTACAGCCAGGCTATAAGCTTATTACACAGCTACTCTCAGGCCTTCAGACTGAGAATTTTTAGCAAGGAAAGTATTTTATTTAATTAACCTTAAATTAATACTGCTGTGAATCCCACTGATGAGATCCAATATTATTGCACCACAGTTTAAATCACATTATATAGGGCTCAGTTCAAAGACAATTTTATTGTGCACTTAATTGGAATTGATAGATGTAAATGATTTTACAAATTAATTTGTTCATTCAGCTCATTTTTACATTTACACATTCATTGTTTGTGTACACAGCAAATTTTAGGGTGAAATTCTGTTTTAATTTTTTTAAACAATAATAAATAATAAATAATTTCAACACAATACATGGCACTAAAATT